TGTGGAGTGGTTCTCTGGGTTGCGAGGACATTTGGTTCTTACTTATGTCTTCCCACCAAGGGATGGAGGTATAGCTGGAGGAATCCAATCCTGTTGGCAGAGAGGGACCACCCTCCCCTGGGGTCTTAGAAGATCCTCCGCCCCTCTGTCTCTGAGCCCTGCCCTTCCCAGCCGCATCCTGCCCACCACACCGTGCTCTGATCCTCCTCGTCCAATCACCCCCAGGCCACCACCCTCCAACCAGACCCCTGAGGCTTCTTGCTGGGGCCCTCTTTGAGAAGGGTGTTCAGTGTCTGTACCCTGAGTAACTGTACCCTCCCCCCACTGTTTCTTCAGCTAGCTTCTCCCATGTCCCAGGGCACATAAATCATCAACTGATGGGCAGAATGTGCCCTTCCAAATCCGTGTGTTTAAGTCCTAACCCCCAGACCCTCAGAAGGCACTAGTATTTGGAGAGAGGGTCTTTTAAAGAGGCAATTAAGGTGAACCTTTTGGCTTGGATGGTAAAGAACTCTCCTGCAATGCAGGAGACCCAGGTTTGATTGGTGGGTTGGGAAGATTCCCTGGAGAAGATTCCCACTCCAGTATTGCCTAGAGAATACTATGGACAGAGGAGCCTGATGGGCTACTGTGCACAGGGGCGGAAAGAGTCAGACACGATTGAGCGACTCACACTTTCACTTTCAAGGTGAAACAAGGTCACTAGGGAAGGCCCGTTAGGGCAGAAGTTCCCAACACTTTTAGCCCCAGGAACTGGTTTTGTGGAGGATGATTTTTCCATGGATGGGGTGGGAGATGCTTTGGAGCTGATTCAAGCATATTACATTTGTTGTGCACTTTATTTCTATTGTTATTACATCAGCTCCACTCCAGTCATCATGCATTAGATCCCGGAGGTTGGGGGCCCCTGCTCTAATGGAGGGAAGAAGCTTCCTCCCACCCTTCTAGTTTCTATGCTTGGTCTACAAATTAAACTGACAGAAGACTGATAAATAGGCAATATAATTATATATTTGTGAGCCCATGAGAGGTTCACAAAAATATTGTGACTTGAGGAGGTGGGTGACCAGATGACTGAGACATGCTGCCCTGAGCTTTGGAGAGGAAGAGGGGCTGGAAACTTCTGGAGGGAGGCAACTGATGGGGAGGGGAGGGAAGGAAATTAGGATAAGGTTAGGACTTCCCTGGTGGTGGAGACAGTAAAGTGTCTGCCTATAATGCAGGAGACCTGGGTTTGATCCCTGGGTCAGGAAGATCCCCTGGAGAAGGAAATGGCAACCACTGCAATACTCTCACCTGGAAAACCCCATGGACAGAGGAGCCTGGTGGACTGCAGTCCATGTGGTTGCAAAGACTGAGCGACTTCACTTTCTTTCTTTCTTGCCTTGTTATGGAGAGAAAAGTCTCTCCAGTGAGAAAATTGTCTCTGCGAGTAGCTTTCAACCTGTTACAGATAACTAATGGAAATCTTTAAAAAAGGGGAAATTTGTACTTTATTTTAGGCAGGTAAGGGGGAATTAAAGAGCTTTTTCTGTGTCTGTTGGTTCTCCATTGCCTTAGTTCAGAATAATCTATACAGCAAGTGACATATATTAGGGTGGCGTGTTCTAAGCCCCTTCAGCCCTAATCCTTTGTGACTGATGTCCTTATAAGAGGAGACTGGGACATAGACAGACACAAAGGGAAAACCATGTGAGGAGTCAGGGAGAAGGTGCCTGTCTGCAAGCCAAGGAGAAACCTTAGGAAAAAGCAACCCCACAGATGCCTTGATCCTGGATCTATTCTCCATATTTGTGATAAAATGAATGAATGTTGCATAAGTCACCCAGACCATGTTGCTTTGTTTTGGCAGCCCTGGAATACTCATACTGTGACCCAAGAGCATTTCTGGGTGATGGTCTCTTGTATTTTATTATTTTACTTGAGGACGAGTACACTTAGATATATGAAGCCTCAGAACTTCCAGTTTTTTCATAACACAAAAAATACCAATGTGGTCATTTCCTACATGTGTTTGTCTAAAAAAATCTTCTGATGCCCACTTTTTTTTTTTTGCTGTTTAATATGGGCACATCTGGAAATGTTTCAGCAAATATACCAAACTCCTCCTCTGTCCTGTCATGTAAGTGGCCTCAAGATGCATCACAGAACTGTGAGCATCCACGACTAAGGAGATCCATGGGACTCCTAGAGCCCTTTTGCTTTCAGTCCGTATCTTGCTGAAACGAAGACTATTTTCTGTTGGAACTGATTCTGAGTTTATTTGACTGTGTTACGGATGCCATGATTCCTCGGTCAGAAACTGAGCTGGGGAAGGTATCTTTTGGTCCGTTTCTGTTGTGTGGATTTGGGGGCTGACTCCAGCCACCTGTTTAGAATAGCACCTGGGCGGGGGGCGGCAGGGAGGCCCCTGTTGGCGGGGACCTTACCTCGAGTGGGCAGGAGAGAGATGTTGTTGCGCCAGGGAGAATATACTACGGCGAGAAGTGTGGCTTGGGAATCATGGCTGAGCTCGCTTCAGGCAGGAATAAAGCATTTGATTAAACTGCCATTTATGGGAACCATTAGACTCCTGCTATGCATGTTTGATTGCTTGGTGCTTAAAGCTTGCATCTCATTTGTGATCCACGGTGTCATGAGTTGTGAGTGGAAGGCAGCCTGTTGCTTCTTGCATGTTGCCTGAGTTTATCCAACTCCCCCCATTCTGCGATGCTCGGAGACAATGGCGGACACAACTGGTCGTGGAATCGCAGTGAGGATAATAACATCGTTAGATTAGAAACCAGGGCAATTATCCAGTCACCTTCATCTTTAGAGCTGGCATGCACCGTGGGAGTCATGGAGTACACAACACTCAGAAGGCATCTTATTAATTAGTGTTTCCCTGCTTGCTTGGGACAATGATATGTGCATTCTAAATGCATGTGAACACGGACAGTAAAGAACTGCCTTGATGCTCTGGTTACCATGCCAACTATCACGTATTCATTTTCTGATGACACTCTTGATGGATTCTTTAGGGAACTCTGGTTACCACACAAGCTGAAGGCAGTCTTTTTTTCCCCTTGCTATCTTGACAACAACATCTCTCTTCTCTCCAAGGGAAATACAAATGCATCTTCATGGTGGGTATTATTTCAACCTGAGCATGCAAGTTTTGTTATGAAATATTTATCGGAATGAAACAAATGATGTCATTAATTAGTACACTGATCAAGATTTTTTCACTGGTTGGGGCTTTGCCTCAAGTCAGAGCCACGATTGCCTACATAATCCACTAGATGGAGCAAGTGAGAAAGTATTTGCATTCAATGATTGAAGAAATAAATAATGGGACTCTTGATCAGTCTGTGGATAAAGTAATGACTGTTTGCCTTTTCTGACAACTTTGGTAGAGATCTTAGGAATGAAAGATCGGCATGACAGCTTCCTATCTGCCCAGGAGAAAATCAATTACATTCCCAGTTAAGCATATCAAGAGACAGATTTTTGACTCAAATTTAGGTATGAGTCGTTTTATTATTGAATCGAATTAAATCGAATTTATTAATTTTTATTTATTTATTTTATTTTGTATTTAGGGTAGTTCCTACTTTTCTGAAGGCAAAGAAAGAAAAGTTTAAAAAGCCCCTTTCTTGTCTTCCTTTATATGTACCAAACGCAACCTTCCCCATGAGGTCTCTATCCTGTCTGGTTTAAACTTCAGGTTGTAAAAGCTTTCCATGTAGGATATTATCTCCCTGGTAATGGAAGCACTGAGCAGCTGTGCATATTTTCGATGCTCAGTACATAGTCCACGTATCGCATTGTTCTCTTGTTAAGCAAGCATCTTGATTGGGGTGGCATGACTGGGTCACCCACCCATGGCGGCAATTGCAGAGAGACAAAGTGTGAAGTCTCTGCAGGAGCTGGTGGGGCACATGCCCTGAAACTGAACCCCAGGACCGTTCTCCACGTGCCGTGCTCTCATGCCCCACTGCTCCCAACAAAGCTTACACTGTGTCTGAGACTACTTCTGCTAGCAGACTGTCTGATCTCAGCCGCGATGCAGGAATTTAGCCAAGTGCTATTGGCGAGCATTTTGACCGTGAGCTTTCTCGATGCTTCGATTTTACATTTTACTGATGCACACTCTTTGCTTTGGGGGCAGAATAGGTGTCCCCTAGATGGTGAGCTCAGCTATTATTATGGGTAAACAGGAAGAGTTATGATCTCTTTGGAGAGCAATTTGGCAAATACAGCAGCATTTAAAATACATATATCCTTTGATTGAGCCAGTCCAGAACTAGGAATTTAACTTGTATGCTTGCACACAAACTCAAAGGTATATGTATGAAGTTTCTTTCTTCTTTTTTTTTTTTTTAACTGCAACCTTGTTTGCAAGAACAAAAGACTCAACCTAAATGTTCACCTGATTAGAGTTCCTGACTAAGGAACTGATTAAATGAATGAGGGTGTATCCATATCAGGGAATGCAGGGAAATTCATTATATTGACTCATGTTGTTGTTTAGTCGCTGAGTCATGTCTGACTTTTCGCGATCTCATGGACTGTAGCTCGATGGGCTTCTCTGTGCATGGGATTTCCCAGGCAAATATACTGGAGTGTGTAGCCATTTTCTCCTCCAGGGGATCTTCCCCACCCAGGGATGGAACCTGCCTCTCCTGCACTGAAGGCAGCTACTTTATCACTGAGCCAGCCACCAGGGAAGCCCAGCCTTGAGTCATATTTTCTAGTGTATCATTCTTATGTTGATTATTCCCAGTGTCCAAGAACTATTAAGTGAAACACAATGCAAACAGATTTGCATGATGTGGCATCATTTATATAAAAAGTAAGGATCCATTAATTATATAGGTGCATGTAAGTGTGTATGCTTGGAAAGCATAGAAGAATCTGGAAAAACACCAGAAAACGGTAACTGTGATTTTCAGAAAATGGAGCCGAGGGGAAGAGGCCTCTTCATTTGTATTCCTCTGTATCGCTCGTCTTCTTTTCCATCAGGCCGCGCCCCGTTTCTCCTCCGAGTGTGCCCGCCCACTCCACCGCGGCTCCGTGGAGACGCAGGCGGCGGACAGTGGCTGCTGCCCGGGGGCCGGGGGCCCGGGCCGGGGCAGGCCGGTTCCAGCTCTCGGAGGCCCCTCCTTGGCACAGCCTGGAAGAGCGACATGATGGATGCTTTGACCGCTGCCTCCCCACGAGGACGCACCGCTGACTCTGCTGCTTATTAACTCCGGGCTGGCTGCAATCTGGTGCCAGGGACGCGGGGACTTGCTGACCCCTCCAAGGTGACGGCGATGGTCTTGGAACGGGCGCGATGCTCTTGGCTAACTTGCCAGCTGCTCCCGAGTTTCTGCTTCTCCTCTACCTTTCAGGCGGAGTTAGACTCTGGAAAGCTGTGGTTTTGCAAACCCGGAGTTCTCCAGGCCAGGAGCACACAGGACTGGGCAACACGGCTGCCCCAGTGAGATGGCTGACTCCATAACGACCGCGTTAAGGAAGGAGGGGATCGGGTGGAGACCAGGCCTTCTCACTGCAGTGACAGCTACTGTCGGTTTTCAAAATTCTTTTGCTATTTCCCCCCCAAATCTACAGCACAGATATGCCTCGTGAGCAGTTTGTACCGAGCAGGTTGGAGCCCCGCCAGTGACCCACTGAGTGACCGGCTGAGCCAGCGCAGCGTTTGTGTAGGGCTTGCTCTGGGTTGCTGGGGGACAGGCAGCCTGTCCTTCCCATCCCCAGTCCTGCGGAGGAGTGGAGACCCCGCCTCTCTCCATAGCAGCCTGGGCTGGAGGGCTGCCTTCTTATGGAGTGGAAAGGCCTGGAATCTCCCAGGCTTGTCAAGGATGGCCCCTTTGATGAGTTACAAGTCAAGGATAATAAGCTCGCTGCACCTTTGACTGTGTTTGTCTGTGTAAGATCTATTCAATCAGCCATTTGGTACACTTTCTGTTATATGCTGCTTTCTTGGTCTTTTTCCTCTGTTAGATAAATAAAGCCATGCTATCATCTTTAGATTCTTTTGACACCCCTGCCCCTCCCTGGGAAGGCTTGCTGTTTCAGCCACCCTGCGTACCTGGAGCCGGGCTCTCCCGGGGCCGGCAGGGGTGGAGGGCTGCCGTGGGGCTGCTCGGGCTGGCGTCCCCGGGTCCTGGCTGACTGACCGCGTTTGGATTCCGTGGGCTGCAGAGAGTGTCCGAGGGAGACCGTGGCTGGTCGTGTCCGGGTGGGATTGGCTTGAGGTAGTGGCTGCAGGACTGCTTCCCAGAGACTGGGACTTGATGCTGAGGAGGCTGTTTCAGATGTTTGTTCAGCAATCTCCTCAAGCAGAAGTTGACCAAATAAAACCGTCGGCCCTGGCTGCCTTCTGCTGTGGGTTCTGGCTGCCTGGTCTCCACTTAAGCCCTTCTCAGTCCCGGTGCTTGGGGGTGGGGGCGGGGAGGGACTTTCCCTGGCTCAACTTCTCCCAGAGGTGACATTGGGTTATCACCCCCATCAACACCTGTGATTCTCCAGTGGAGGTGCCTGGATCTCCCTGCAGACCTCTGCAGGAACCAAGAGACCAGTTAAGAGACCAGACTTAACCCTCAAGCTTTCTGCCTCTTAGGAGGCCAGAGAGATGGAAGAGTCGACATCCTTGGCACGTTCTTCGCAGCAAACGTGTCCTAACTCAGCAGACAGCATTGTCCTCCACTTCTCTCCGCAGGTCGTCTCCTTCTTCTGAAATGTCACGGGGTGGGGAGGGGGTCAGCTCCTCCTGTGACACCCGCCTCCTTTCTCCTTCTCAGCTCATGTGCGCCCCCCCACCGGCCCCGAGGCTCAGGTTCTTCTTCTCTTTCCCTACATCTCTCCAGTAGGGCCTGTGGCCACGTTGTCTAATGTTTTGCACTTAGGTTGTGTTTTGTGGAGCTTAGAGGCTGAGGTCCAGGAACAAAAAGAAAACTCTCCCCTGCCCCCTTGATGGGGAGGCGACCACCCCACCTGCCCCGCCCATCGGTACCCCCCCTGGCCCCCCAGGGGAGACACTTGGGTCTGCAAGTCCCAGCAGCATCTCTTCACTTGCTGCTCAAGGGGAAGCTCTGACTCCAACCCCAGACAAGCGATATTTCTCTTCTTGTGGTTTTCGGTAGGTGTTATTTTTGGAACTGGCCAAAATACTTTAGCTTTGTACCAGCTCTTTCAGTAAACCCGATCCTTTCTTGGAAGTGTCTTTCACTGAGATAAGTGACTCTAAATTGGGTGTTGTTCAGTTGTGTCCCACTCTTTGCGGCCCCATGGACTGCAGCACGCCAGGCTTCCCTGTCCTTTGTCAACTCCCAAGGCTTGCTCAAACTCACATCCATCGAGTCAGTGATGCCATCCAGCTATGTCATCCTCTGTTGTCCCCTTCTCCTACCATCTTCAATCTTTCCCAGAATCAGGGTCTTTTCCAGTGAGTCGGTTCTTCACATCAGGTGGCCAAAGTATTGGAGCTTCAGCTTTAGCATCAGTCCTTCCAATGAATATTCAGGATTGATTTCCTTTAGGATTGGCTGGTTTGGTCTTCGGTATGGTAAAAAAAAAAATATGGAATGCCCTGTTAGGTTTGAATTTCAGATAAACAACAAATAACTCTTCCCCTCACTGAAATTCAAGTTTATCTGACCATCATATCTCCAAGGCCAAGACTCAAACGGGTTCTTTTGATGAGACATTTTCCCTAAAGAAATCTTGACAGTGAGAATCCCTTTCTTCTCTTCCTCATCTTCTATCAGTTTAACAAACCATCACAATTTTTCTTAAAATCTTTTCTATGAAGACTCATTTCTCCTCTTCATTATGGAGTCAGAAAAGCTCTACTCTGTTGAAAAGTCTTAGGATTTGCATACTTTCTTACCCAGTGAACATTGTTGAGTTCAGTAAATGTATCCTGGATATGTACAGTAAGTTCCCAGGGCAAATGAGAAGGGCTGATGTTTCTGTATTTTCAAACCACTCCCAAAGAAGTTCAGAGCAGTATTGTCTGGTTTCCCCTGTTTTGTATAATCACAACCATAGCTTCGCCTCTGCAGCCTACTTGCAGTAAATGTCTTTAGTGATTAATTAAACTGATTCAGTTCTACTTCAGCTTTAAGTAACCACAGCTGTTGTTTATTGTTTCACATCCTAATAGCAATAGAAGCATTTATTTAAATACCCCTTTATGCCAGAACACCCTGAAGAGCAGAAGAGCAAGGTATTTGGAGATGACAGAGGGGAAATGGAACTTCTTTCTGTAACAGGGACAGAGCATCTGTATTTACCAAAGAACCTGAAGTCACTTACCAGGGAAATCAGTCTTTTTTGTACCCCAAGTTGGCTACTCTTTTGTAGTGGAAATGGGAGGAAATGGGAAAGCAAAGGAAGATAGAATCTAAACTGCATGGCCCCTTGTAAATTGCAGGCTGCCCTCTGTGCACTGTGGCCCCAGAACTTTGGCGATAAAGACAGATGTTGTCTTTATCTGACTGCCTGATGTTATGCTGGTCATAATTTTCATAATCTTCACAGTCACTTCTTCATCTAATTGGGTGCTTTTGTCCTTCACCTTTTGATGTTGAGTTTCTCTATGTTCTTTATTTTTTAAAACATTTATTTTTAATTGGTCTCTATTGTTCTTTCATGGGCAGTATTTTGTGTGTAATAAGCCCTGACTACTTCCTGGTTTGATTTTTGCATATTCTCAGAGTGTAAGATTAATGATTAATAGATTTATGTGAAGGCCAGAAAAAGTCAGCTTGCTCGCCTTCAAGAATTCTCATCAGTCTTCAACAAACAGTGTTGGGAGAACTGGATGTCCACATCCAAAAAACCGAAATTGAACCCTCATCTAATACCATAAACACAAATCAACTCAGAAATGGATTAAAGATTTCAGTATAAGACCTGAATCAGTACAATTCCTAAAGAAAACACAGGGGAAAACTTCGTGGCAGTGGTCTAGGTAATGACTTCTTGGATCACAGCTGAACTCAGGGGTAAACTCGACAGTGTGAGGCACTCACGCCTGTTGGATCACAATTGACAACTGAAGTCTGAGCTGGTGCAGAAACCTTCTCCTGTTTCGACAATTCTGAGACACCACTCGTCCGAGTGTCCCAGCAGGACTGAACTCACGTCCACAATGGTGAACAGTCCAACACATACCTGCCTGTTAGTTTTCCTTCTTTCTGGTTCCCCACGTCTGTTCTTGAGATCACATGTCTCCAAACAGTTCTTGGGCTGGAGTTGATCTCTCAGCTCTGCTTCTTGGGAAAGACAAGCAGAAAGTGGTCTTCAGGATGGTGTTCTGGAGCCAGGTCACGTGTGGGAGGGCTGTGTGATGGGGTGTAGGAATCCTGCCATGCAGGCGAGTTCCAGGGGTTCAAGGTGCACCTGTGCTAAGCTGCAGGCGGAGGCAAGCTTGGCAACACGAGGGCAGGGGCGTGAAGGATGGTGGACCTGCCTGGCTTGTGACCACAGCCACCGAGAAGCCTGGTGACCGTGGTGGACTCAGGTGAGGTGACAGCCAGCTCACTGCGAACCTCGGAGGCTTCCCAGGCAGCCTTTAATACATCCGTTTGTTCTCAGCTTTGGTTTCACACTAACTAGACTGACATAATCTGAGGTCCTGACGCTGTCCAGACCAATTCATTCACAGTTTCTAGACTAGAAACTTGGGTCTGCATTCATCCAAAATTAAGAACCGCTGGGGATCTTTGTCACCTGGGCTGCATGTTGGCTGTTGGCAGCTGTAAGTCTGTGCGTGCTTCCGAGGAAACATTAATGAAAATATTCTTAGGTAAGGTTCTCTATCTCAGCCCTTCACTAATTAGTTCCAGCTTTTCAGTTAACCCAAGTCAGTGAGGCTTCCTGCAGACTAGTTTGCTTGTTTTTGCTTTTTCTTCAGTGAGTATCCTCAGGTGTTTTCTTTCTTATTAGTTTATAGTGTCTCCAAGGACATTTCAAGTTTAGAAAAGCATAATTTGATGGAATTCTTCCTTCTGTGTAAGTATTGGCTTTCTTGTAGTTGTAAACTATTTCCTGGTCTATTTCAAATCTTCTGCGCCTGGGAGACACTGGGTAAAGTAAACTCTTGAGATGCTGGTGACTCAAAGCGGCTATGCCCACCACTGCCATGGAGAGCTCGTTTATTGA